TCCCCAGACAGCTGTCTGGGGAATTCTGGGAGTTGAAGTCCACCCATCTTCCAGCGGCCAAGATTGAAAAACACTCTTAGATCCTCTCAATCTGCGGTGAATATCCGGCTTGAGATGTCATCCAACAGCCAATCGATGCCCGCCAGTAGATTTTCCCCGGTGTAAGCACTGCAACCTCGGATGCACCAATGGTGGGTCTGGATGCTGTCGAGGCCCAGGGCCTGGGGAGGAAGCAAAGAGAAAAATCAGAAAATCCCCCTTCCGTGCAAGGGTCCCCCCTATTCTCTGGACTGTTGTGGCCTGTGGGCTGCTGGCCCTCCAGCAGCTGAATGAGAGGAGGAGGAGGAGGAGGAGGTGTGGAAGTCAGAGCATCAGACGGAGGCGGAGCCTGGGCCGTCCATCAGCCCTCAGATGGAGAGTCAATAGCCCCCAGGTCTGGAGGGGGCTGATGAGGAAGAGGAGGAACAGCTGGGTCCAGTGCCTGACAGAAGTCAGAGGAGAGGAGAGCAGTGGAAATCTATGGGCCGGTCCTTGGGACGGAAGAGCCACTGTTCTGCTGGTGAAGCCCCACCCAAGCTCTGGGATCAAAGGCAGTGGGGGGCGGAGACGAATAGGGGTGGCAGACAACTATTCATCTCCCTGCCAGACTGACTTGTTAGCCTGCGGTGAGAGAGAAAATTTTTTTTTTGCCGGGGCTCCTAATAAAGGAATCTTTTGAGTTAACTTCTGAGGGTTGGTCATGTTTGGGGAGCTGGGTCAGAACACTGGAGTTATTTTTTTTGTTCTGTGTTTTTTTCTTCTTCACCACACCAGTAATAAAAAACTGAACCGCAATTTAGCAATATAAACATATTAAACTATATTGTTCACGTATCAACAATGTGTGTGTTCATGTGCATACAATTACCTTGTCAAATTGCAATTTAATTTACATTGCTATATCACACCTCATCTTGCTTTTTAAAAATCATTCCACTTGTGTTCTGGAAGTTGAATAAAGTACGTTTTTAAAAAAAAGAAGAAATGTAGTAGTCCTTGCTACACTCGGCAACTGACTCACATTTATGATGGTTGCTGTGTCCCAAGGTTGTGCGATCCCCTTCTGCAAACATCGGACAAGTGAAGTCAATGGGGGAAAAGCCAGATTCACTTAACGAAGGTGGCAAGAAAAGTCGTAAAATGGTGGCTGCCCTTGCAGCGAGAAGCCGGGAGTGGTGGTGGTGGAAGCAAAATAATTCAATAAATAAATACACAAACAACCCTGGTCCTTACCTCCTGGATGGCGCTGGGACTTAACGCACCTGGCAGGTCCTGCTTATTGGCAAAGATGAGAAGCGTGGCCCCGGCCAAGCGCTGTGCAGAGGAAGAGGGAGAAAAGCCAACACAAATGACCGAAATCTTCTTGTTCCACCCAATGTTCTGAGCAAAGGCTTCCTGAGACCGTAATCAAGCACACACTTAAAACAACTCTTGTTTTATTTCAACGCAGGGAATTATGTTCATTCCCCGCCCGTAATGAGTCCCAAATAGTCCCTCGAGATAAGCACCCACCTTTCTCTCCTTTGAATGGCTGCCAACAACTAAAGTGCCAAATGAACTGTAAAAAACCAACCGAAGTACAAGTCCACACAGAGCTTCAAGGTTGAATCTGAACCGAGCGAACGACTTTGCTTCCTTTCGTCCCCTTTGCCTGTCCTTTATCCCTTAGGGGAAGGGCAATCACCTCCCAGCCTTACTCCCGAGTCGCTCCTTTTGTCTCAGCTGCCCTTGCCTTCTAGAAGTTCTGTGCACACCCGCACTGGGAACAGGCTCCCCTGGTTCCTCTGCCTCGCTGCTGCCAGACTCCGAAGGCTCCGGAGGCAGCACGTACCTCCCAGATGGTCCTGGCCCCATCCCTGCATCGGATGCAGGACCCTTGTCCAGACCCTCCCCAGACTCCTGGATGGGTCCCCGTTCTTCCCCAGTGTCCGATTCCGCTGCCGCCTGCACAGGCTGCCAGAAAACCAGAACCCTCAACGGCTGTCTGAAGCTAACAGGGGTCAGCACCCCAAATGCCCATTTTGGGAACTGCAGTCCTAAGAAACGGGACCCGAGGTGGGGCAGCCGGGCCAATTCTTCCCCTGGACGGAGGAGAGCGGAGGCGTTGCCGGGGAAGCGTGGTTCAACTTTACGATGGGCGGGACTTCAACTCCCAGGATCCCCCAGCTTGGCCTAGAAGGTAGAGAGTTCCCAGCCTTTTGCTGGGTTGGGCCACAAATACAGCACAATCCCAAATAGGTTTCCTCAACGGCTTCTCGGCAGATGCTCCACCATGCTGGAGTTGGTTAGGGACTGGATGGGAGACCACGAGGAAACCACGGGGGCGGAGACTACATTGCCAAGAATATTATTTTTGTGATATTTATTTGTATACCGCCTTTATTCTTTTTACAAATAATAACGCAAAGTGGAAAACATACCCAACACATTTTCCTCTTCCTATTTTCCCCACAACAACCCTGTGAAGTGGGCTGGGCTGAGAGAGAGGGACTGGCCCAGAGTCACTTAGCTGGCTTTTGTGCTTAAGGTGGGACGAGAACTCCCCGTCTCCCGCTATCTTTGCGAGATAAAACTGGTTATAAATAACTGGTTATACATTTGTATCTATGAAGCGACTGGGAGTCAAGGAATTGTGGGAACCTCTTCAAAGTTCCCACGGTTGAGGCTCCAGATGTTTTGGGGAAATCTGCCATAAAATTCCCATAATTCTCTGCCCCAGCCAAGGAATTCTGGGAGTGGAGGCCTCCAAGATGCTGGAAGGCTTGCAATGGCCCCCTCCCATTCCACAGGAAGCTGGCCCTTCCCTCCCCCTCCCCCTGACGAGGTTGCCCACCTCTTCCACCAGGAGGGTCTGCAACTCCTTCTTGCAGTCCTCCAGCCGCTGGTGGTCGGCGCTGTCCACCACCCAGATGAGCCCATCAGTGCTCTCAAAATAGTTGCGCCAGTAGGAGCGCAGGGATTTCTGGCCGCCGACGTCCCAGATGTTCAGCTTGAACCTGTGGGGGGGGGGGGGAGAGAGAGAGAGAGAGGCATGGCGGAGGTGGCAGTGCCAGGCCAAAGGGCCCCGGGAAGAGGAAGAGGAGGCGGCATCCTCACCCGCGGTGCTCCAGGGTCTTGATGTTGAAGCCCAGCGTGGGCGAGATGGTGTCGATCTCGTCCCCATTGAACTTTTTCAGGATGGTGGTTTTGCCGGCGTTGTCCAGGCCCCTCAGGGTGGGACCGAGTCAAGGGCCACAAGCCAACGGTGTTTCAAAGCAGAGCAGCAGGAAAGGAATGTGCCAAGCTCCTGGCAAAGGAAAGCTGCGGAGCAAGGAAATGCATGCCTCCCTAACAGAATAACAGAGTTGGAAGGGACCTGGGAGGTCATCTAGTCCAACCCCACTGCCCAAGCAGGAGACCTTGCACCATTTCTGACAAGATGGCAGGCCAGTCTTTTCTTGAAAGTCTCCAGGGATGAAGCTCCCACAATTTCTGAATAACAGAATGATAACAGATTAACGGAGTTGGAAGGGGCCTTGGAGGTCATCTAGTCCGACCCCTCCCCCATCCAAGCAGGAGACCCTACACCATTTATTAACAGAATAACAGAGTTGGAAGGGATCTTGTAGGTCATCTAGTCCAACCCTGCCCAAACAGGAGACCCTACCTCCACCTTTTATTAACAGATTAAGAGTTGGAAGGGATCTTGGAGGTCATCTAGTCCAACCCCATTCCCCAAGCAGTAGACCCTACACCATTTCTGACAGGTGGCATTTCAGTCTTTTCTTGAAAGCCTCCAGGGATGAAGCTCCCACAATTTCTGAATAACAGAATAATAACAGATAAAGAGTTGGAAGGGACTCTGTAGGTCATCTAGTCCAACCCCTCGCCCACCCAAGCAGGAGACCCTACACCCTTTCTGACAAGTGGCACTCCAGTCTCTTTTGGAAAGCTTCCAGGGATGAAGGTCCCCCCCCCCCCCCCCCAAGCACTTCTCCTCCCCTAAACTTAAGGGCAAGCGTGCCTGGGAAGCCCAGAGCATGCAGAGATGGAGCCCAAAGCACTCTGTCCATGCACAGGGGCACTCTCGACCAGGCGAGTTGAGAAATGGGAAACGCTGCCTGGGGAGGGAGCGCAGGCCGAAGCAGCTCCTCTTTCCTGGGATGCCAAGTCAGGGGCGCCCCCCGCCTTTCCCAGCCCCCCCCCCCCCAAATCCCGGTTTCTCCCCCCGCCCATTGTTCCTTTTTTCCTCGCGGAAGGATACAGCATCAGCAGCCGCAGCTCCCGCTCCTTTTGCCGCATCTTCTTCAAGATGCTCAGCAGCCCCATCGCCCGCGCGGAAGCTCTGCCCGCGCTCCGCCCACCGCCGGGATACCGCGCGCGGCCCCGCCCCTCAGAACTCCGCCTCCGCCAATCAGAAAGGCCGGGGGGCGGTCCCGGCTTGGAGAAGACCATCAAGGGTGGCGGGGGGGATGTGTAATTTATATACTTCCGGCTCTCAATCGCAATTCTGCTGGTTCCTGACATGGCAGCGAAGGGACTTGGTGTGAAGCAATTGCATAAATGCCCACTAGAAGACCTCTAAGGTCCCTTTGTTATTTTGTTAAATCTCTTTGCTGCCATCTGCACAACGTCTCCACACAACTGTGTGTACCTCTATACAATTGTGTATATACAGTTGCATCTATACAATTGTGTGCATCTAATTTTTAAATTTATTTGTATTTTAATGTTTCAAAATTTCAATAAAGGTTAAAAAAACAATTGTGTGCATCTATACAATTATAGAGTAATATAACTATAGAGACTTTGTGTAGATGGCAGCAAAGAGATTTAACAAAATAACAAAGGAACCTTAGAGGTCTTCTAGTCCAACCCTCCCCCCCACACACACACACAAGCAGAAGAACCTAGACTTTGAGAGAGCAGTTATGCATAATTTGTGTGAATATTGCCTGGGTGTTTGAAAGTTTTTGGTCTACTTAGAAAAATTAACTTGATATTTTCAAATGGGTGGAATATTTAGTGATTTAGTCAGGTTTTCCACCGCCGATGCAGCTTTCACTTCAAAAGGAACCTGAAGTCGAATCTGCCCTCAAGTAGGACCGCACCCCTTTTGCTTCCGTGGCCATTCAACGACCAGTCCCGCCCCCTTCCGGGTAAAGAAGACGAATCGCCAAGTGGGAGGATTGTTAAAGCTACCGCAATGTAGATCAGCGAAACTTTAAAGAGATACGTACTGTTGCATTGAGAGTTTAAAAAGATTTATTTTTTTTTGCCGGATGGAAGAGACCATAAGAAATTAGGAAGAAAAAAACTTGTCAATTTGTCTCAATTCACTTTTTATAATGTTTATTTAATGCAAAATAAGCAAAAAGAGATGTCCGTTGATGAAATTGCTCAGAAAAGGTATCCAAGTTGGTTTACATTTAAAAATCACACAATTGCAAATCAGATCTTCATATTTCATTGACTAAAAATCAGCCATCTCCAAACTTGGCAACTTATTAAGACTTGTGGATTTCAACTCCCAGAATTCCCCAGTCATCATGGACTGCATACATGGAATGCAGAACCCCAAGCTGGCTGGGGAATTCTGGGAGTTGAAGTCCACAAGTGCCTTAACATCGTTGTCATGCCCCTGGTGGAGGCTGACTCTGAGGAAGAGGAGGAACAGCCAACAGGGAGCGGTAGTGTGGCTCCAGAGGTGGTGGAGGAGGCTGGGGAAGGGCAGAGGCCCGCTGAGCAGTCAGAGGAGGGCACGCAGGGAGGAGAGGATCAGGGTAAAATGTGGTCTACTCGGGAGGAGAGGGCCATGATCCTCTTCATGGGTTGCAGGTATGTGATTTGCATTAGAGTTTGGACCTGTGTGCTAACAGACGCTGGAGACAAATTAGTGTTTTCCTTGGATGAGCTTTATCTTTATTTCTATCTTTATCTTTATTTCTATCTTATTTTTATTTTTTATCTTTATCTTTATTTCTTCGGTTATCTTCCTGGAATGTGTGATTAATTATCTTGGTTTGCCTTGGAACTCTCGTCAATACGGTTTCCTTTTACTTCATTATCTACTTTTTTGAATTTAAACTGTGACTAATAAAACAGCAAAGCTAAGTTGAAGGCATTGCAAGACCTTGACTCATGTTTTAGTTTTTGTGTTATTTTTGAGACCCTACAGGTCATCACAGTTGTCAAGTTTGGAGAATCCTGGGCTAAATGCACCCCACCATTTCTATTTCTAAAGCAACTGCAATTAAATTGTGTGGAAATTTCCCGTCCTCCTGCAAGGCTTAGCTTTTGGGATTTGAGTTGATTTGAGACATCTGCACATGCTCAGACTCCCTTCTTTTGACATTTGGCGACAGGGTCTTTGGAAACTTCCATTTAAGTGCATGGGTTTTGTTGTGGTCGGCCTGCAGAGCCGGCAGCAGAGTGGGACAGTGGGGAGGAACATGGTCCAGTTCCGGAGTCTAGGGATGACTCGGACGATGGTCCTGCGTTTGACAAGAGATGGGGCCAGGGCCATCTGAGAGTGGGGTGCTGACTCCGGAGCCTCCAGAATCTGACATCAGCGAGGCAGAGGAGCAGCGGGAGCCTGTTCCCAGTGTGCACATGCGCAGAGCTGCCAGAAGCCAAGAACAGTTAAGACAAAAGGGGCGACTCAGGAGTAAGACTTGGAGGTGATTGGCCCCTCCCATAAGACATAAAGGAGGAGCAAAAGGACAGAAGCCTTTGCAGGAAACAACTTTGTTCGTTTTGTTCAGTTTAAAATCCGCAGCTCCGTGTGGACTTTGTGCTCCGTTTGGCCTTGTACACCTAATTGGCAATTTAGTCATTGGCAGCCTTTCAAGGAAGATAAAGGTGAGTGCTGATCAGCCTTATCCCAAAGGACTGTGGCAGACTTCTGTGGGACTATTCACAAACTGTTTGAGACTCATTACGATGTGTGAATGCATATAATTCACAGCTGTTGAAATAAAAACAAGGTTTTTGGGAACAGCCTGTGATTGTTACTGTCTCAGGAAGCCTTGGTCAGAACAGGTTGTTGATGTGCTTCAATAGTCGATGCAATGTGTGGACTTCAAATTTCAGAATCCAATTCCCCTATGCTGGATGGAGAATTGAATCCACAATACAGGCAGTCCTTGACTTACGACCACAATTGAGCCCAACATTTCTGTTGTTAAGCGAGACCGTTGAGTTTTGCCCCACTTTATGGCCTTTATTGACAGTTCAGTGAAACACTGCTGTTAAGTTAGTAGCATGATGGTTAAGTGAATCTGGCTTCCTCAATTTTGAGTCCAAAATTTCTGTTAAGTGACACACTTGTTGAGTTTTGCCCCATTTTACAACCTTTCTTGCCACTGTTGTTAAGTGAACCACTGCAGTTGTTCAGTTAGTCACCCAGTCGTTAAGTGAATCTGGCTTCCCTGTTGACTTTGCTTGTCAGGTCACAAAAGGGGATCTCGTGACCCTGGAAACACTGCAACCGTCATAAATGTGAGTCAGTTGCCAAGTGCGTGAATTTTGATCATGTGACTGTGAGGATATTGTATCAGTTATGTAAAAAAAACCTGGTCATAAGTCACTTTTTTCAGTGCTATTGTAACTTTGGTCACTAAATGAATTGTTGTAAACTGAGGACTGCCTGTGTTGCATGCATGTTCTTTCAAGGGTATTTTCCTCAGCATTATTTGGGGTTTTATCACAATTGATTGGCGGCGTCTTAGCCTACGTATTCTGTTCTGTTCTGTCCTAGGCTTCCCCCAAAAGCACTAAGCCCAGTGATGGTGAACCTTTGTGTTGGGGTGTGCCATACGCGTGTGCCGCACCCCCCAATGCACCCCCCCCCCCCCCGTGCATACGTGCGCAACACCCCCGCCCCACCCCCTTTCCTGCACTGCGCATCCCAGCTGATTTTCGGCCCATTTGAGGCCATTTCTGCGCTCCCGGAGACTCCAGGGAAGCCTCTGCGGCCTCGGGAGGCCGAAAAATGGGCCTTCTGGAAATACCGAACGTGCCCGTTTTCAGCCTCCGGAGAGCCTCTAGAGCCTTGGGAGGCTGAAAACAGGCCCGTTTTGGCATTTCCGGAAGGCCTGTTTTTTGGCCTCCCAAGGCTGCAGGCTTCCCTTGAGCCTCCGGGAGGGCGAAAATGGCCTCAAACGTGCCACCTGTGGCACATGTGCCCCATAGGTTCGCCATCACAACACTAAGCCAACTCTGAGTCCTGGCAAATGCATTCTTTCGCATAGTTTTGTAGTGAAACACGGGTATCGAGCTAGTAATAAATACTCCAGACTCTGGATACGGAAGTTGTCTCTTTTAAGGGTGGCTTTGTTCCATTCTTTTAAAAAAAACTGAGGCAGAACGTTCCACTGGCTAATTGCAATGTTTTTATTTGGTTTGCAACTCAAGTCTCTTCTACTAACCTACAGCTGGCCATGGATGCTGGGAGTTGTAGTTCATCATCAGAGTGCAGCCATGTGGAGTTTGATGAAATACACGTTCTTCACCTTTGAACTACTGGGCAAAGACAGCCACAAAGACTGACCAAATTCAACCCCAACAGAATAAATTAAATTTTAGTGGTAATTTAGTGCTGGCTTTTCTCACGAACAAAACAGGGCATTGCAGCCCCAAAATAGCCATGACTAGAACTAGTGCATACTTAGTCTATGGCTGAGAAAAGAATACGAGCCATGTGCAGTGAGGCCCAATCCTTTTCTTTTTTTGCACAACTATTCCAGTGCGATAAATAGCACTCACAACACATCGAAGCACAGATATGAGCCCGTAATACGATCTTTCTCAAACCTCTGCAAATGTAAAATGGGTGGACTTCAACTCCCAAAATTCCCCAGCCCACTATGCTTAAAGCACACTGGGCTGGGGGATTCTGGAAGTTAAAAGTGCACATTTTAATTTGATTTATTGAATTTATATTGCCGTCTATTCGCACATGGCGACTCAAGGTGGCTTATGGGATATAAAACCTCATTTAAAACAATAAAACTAATAAAAAAGAATCAAATAAATTAATATAATAAATTAAAATAACCCCCACCACCGCGACAGCTTAAGATATACTTTAAAGCTTGCTAGTTGGGGGATTCAGGGAAATGCAATCCACCATCTTAGAACCTGCTGGCTGGGGGATTCTGGGAATTACAACCCATCCACCTTAAACTTGCAGAGGCTGAAAAACACAGCTCTAATACAAGCAGCAAATACCGGTTAACCCGTACAGCAGATCAGCGAAGCTGTAAACAAGCATCACGATTTGCTGCAAGCAGCAGCATCCCTGAAGGGCTGGCTTTCTACATACGGGGAGAGGTTTGCAACCCCTCAGCCAGCATTTCAAGGCAGACCCTTCTTCTGCGCATAAA